AGCACATGGAATATTTTCTAGGATAGACTACATGTTAAGGCACAGAACAGAACAAGTATTAATAAATTGAAGAATATTGAAATCATATCAAACATCTTCTCTGACAATAATGGTATGAAACCAGAAATCAGTGTTTCTCTCTCTCTCTCTCTCTCTTCTCTCTCAACATTTCACAGATCTAGAACCACAAAAGACCCCAAATAGCCACAACAATCTTGAGAAAGAAAAACTGATGAGGAATCAGTTGGAGGAATCACACTACCTAATATCAAACTATACTACAAGGCCGCAGTAATCAGCACAGCAAGGTACTGGAATAAAAATAGACATATAGATCAATGGAACAGAATAAAAAGCCCAGAGATAAGCCCACACATTTATGGTCAATTTATATTTGAGTTAAAGATAGTTTTTTCAAAAATGATATTGAGAACATTGCAAAGATACATGCAAAAAAAATGAAACTAGTCCACCTTGTTATATAGTATACACAAGAATAAGCAAAAAATTGATTAAAGACTTAAATGTTAAACTTGAAACCATAAAAATTCTAGAAGAAAACATGGGCGATAAAATCTCAGACATTTCTCGTAGCAATATTATTCCTGATATGTCTCCTGGGCTAGAGAAACAAACAAACAAACAAAATAAACATATTGGTCTTCCTCAAAAAGGTTTTGCACAACAGAGACTATCAACAAAATGAAAAGATAATCCATTGAATCAGAGAACATATTCACCAATGATACATCTGATAAGAGGCTAATATCCAAAATTATGAAGAACTTACACAACTCAACAGACATACACACACACACACACACACACACACACACACACACACCAATTAAGCAATGGGCAAAGGACCTGAATAGACACTTCTCTAAAGAGGACATTCAGATGGCCAATAGACATATGAAAGGATGATCAACATCATTAGTCATCAGATAAATGCAAATTAAAACCACAAATTGTTGTCGTCTCACACCTTTCAGAATGGCTATCATTCATGGATGTGGAAAAAAGGAAACACTCATATACTGTTGGTGGGGATGCAGATTGGTATAGCCACTATGGAAAGTAGTAATGAGTTTCCTCAAAAAATTAAAAATGGCCATCTTGTAACCCAGCAATTTCACTTCTGGAAATATATTTAAGGAATACCAAAACTAATTCAAAAGAATATATACACTCATATATTCATTGTAGCAGTATTATTACAATGGCCAAGATTTGGAGGCAGCCCAAGTGCCCATTAGTATATGAGTGGGAAAAGAACAACACTATGATCCATTTACACAATGGAAAACTACTTATCCATAAAAAAAGAATAAATCTTGCTTTTTGTGACAGCCTTGGCAAGTCAGTCAAATAAAGACAAGCTCCATATGATTTCATTTGCAGAGTATATGTGGAATCTAATGAACAAAATAAGCTAACAAAATGGTGGCAGACTCACTGATATAGAAAACAGACTGGCAGCTGTCAGAGGGAAGGGACTGGGGGCTGGATGAGAAAGAGTGAAGTGATTAAGCAAAAATAAATAAATAAAAGACTCCTGTCTTGAAGGTCCCCCTCAGGGATTCTGGCAGCAAGCTGCAGAGATAGGCAGGTGACAGGCTCTCTCCCCTCCTAAGAGCTGGTGCCATCTCAAACCTTGATCTATTCCTGCAGGTCCCACCTGCACCTCCTGCAGGTGCAGACTCGCAGGGCAAAGGGGCCACAACTCAGAGCTGGGAAATTTGGTGCATTCACACAATGTAACACTATGCAGCTATAAAAAAAGGAAGGATCTCTTACTCTTTGGGACAGCATGGATGGAGCTGGAGAATATTATGCTAAGCAAAATAAGCCAGTTATAGAAAGACAAATATCACATGATCTCACTTATATGTAGAGTCAAGGAACAAAATAAACTTATGAACAAAATAGATCCAGAGACATAGAATCATGGAACAGACTGACAAATCCCAGAAGGAAGATAGATGTGAGGGAACTGGAGGGAGAGAGATTAACTGGAGAACTTATATGCATATATACATACCCTATGGACACAGACAATAGTGTGGTGAAGGCCTGGGAGTGGCAGATGAGGGGTGGAGGGGTCAATGGGGACAATAAAGGGGGGGGGGGGAATATCTGTAATACTTTCAACAATAAAGATAAATTTAAAATAAATAAGTACATTGGTAAACAAGATAGGACTATAGACATGAAAGCTTGAAACTGACAGATCTCAGAGGGAAAAGGGGTGGGAAAAGATTAACCAAAGAATTTATAAGTATATAAGCATATCCCATGGACAAAGACATAAACAGGTGAAGGCCTGGGGTGGGGGAACAGGAGACATCTGTAAGACTCAACAATAAAATAAAACTGTTAAAAAAGGCTCCTGGACACAGACAACAGTATGGTGATTGCCAGAGGAAGGCTAAAGGGAGGATGAATGATGATGAAAGAAGACTTCACTATTGGTGGTAAACACACAATACAACCTACAGATGATGTATTTTAGCGTTGTCTATCTGAAGCCTATATAACTTTATTAACCAGTGTCACCCCAACAAATTCAGTAAAAGTAAATTTGAAAAAGAAATGAAAGTAATATTGTTTATTACTGAGAACTGTTCCATGAGAATGAGCAACTACTGTGAATACTTCGCTGATTCCAGAACACCTTTCACAACCACACATGAGTCCATAACAGAAGCCAGGAAACGGGTGCTCAGCATTTCTGGGAAACAATATTTTATTATGTAAGAACCTATTGCACCCATGACATCTGAGAGGAAAAAAAGGCCTAGTTAATTTTTGTTCTGATCCTTCAAATCCCCCCAAATTCCAAATCAGAATCTGTCTTGTATGTCAGTAAGCAGCACAACCCACAAAATGTTTGGATATTCAGATACAGTTTCAAGGACATATGCTAAGGTAGTGAATGAGCATTTTCCTTGAGTCTGCGTGGTATTAGTTATTTAAGGTTATATACACTGTGCCCAGATTCAAGTGGCAGAGGCACTCAGGGTTCTTTATACATTTATTTTGTTTGTTCTTGTGTGTTTGTTTTTAGTGGCCCTGTCAATATTCTTGCTCATGTTCTCTGTTCCTTGTTTTAAAATAAAGGGCCACCTTTCAAAGATCACTCATCTTTGCTTTTGTTATTATCCTTTCTTGTCACTTCCATTAGAAGACTTACAGAATCACATCTTCCATTGAACTGTCGTCTCCTGTAATATCGGCTTGAAGTAATTGCTACCGTCTTGTGTTCATGTTGTATTTATCACATGTTTTTATTGAGGTTTTCTTTAGGCCTTTATTACATTTATAGATATATCTGTCTCCCCAACTGTATTACAAGTTCTCTGAAGAAAGATAGAATGTCTAATTTATTCTTGTATTTTCCCATGTCTAGAACTTAAAATATTGGCTAAACTGAATACAATCACATTGGAGGGCTATTTTTTTTTTTTAAATAAGTTTAGAGGAAAGAATTAAATGAATTGTTTTCATACAATAAAACAGAAGATTACATTATACAAAATCATTTATTTTCACGTAAAGGCACTGTGGGAACTCATGGTCCTGTTTATGGTGTTCTCTGTCCTTGTGGACACTGGAGCTTCCAGTCAATCCACAAGCACAGCCCTAGAGAGGGAGGAGGGGCTGAGCCATCCCTGTTTGCTGAGCGGCGAGTGCTCCTTTCTCAAGGTTTTAGCCCACTAGGGGGCACTGTAGGCTTTTCTTAAACCAGACTGAGGAACCTAGCTACAATAGTTGTGAATGCTGGTTGAAAGATTTGAGAAATTTTCTGGGTGTGCAATGGGGATTAGTGATAGTAAAGAGAGAAAAATAATTGTATGAGAAAAACACAAATTTTTTTTATCAGCATATAAGAAACATGCTTTTTTGCTGAGTATTCCTTTCAATTAATAGCTTTACCTATTCCTTGATTCAACTACTAGAAGTTGATAGCAATAATTCATATATATATATATTATATATACATATATTTATTTATATATATACATATATATGTATATATTTACATTGTTATTGTTATCTTTATGTCATTATCTATATCTGTATTTCCTAGAAAAAAAATCCTATATCAAACAGAGAGTCATAAAGCAAAAGGGAAGGTGGAGAATTTCAAAGTATAGATATTGGATTTTAAAAATTTCTATTGCCTATGATTTTTAAATATTACCATTTCCAAATTATTTCTAAAAAATTGAATGCCATCTTTTCTTTAATATTCTTTCTATCTCTTTCTTGTCACTAGAAAACAAAAAAACAGGAAAGAGAGAGCAGGCAAGGGTGAAAAGGAGAATGTGAAAGTAGAAATGTAATGAGAAGGGAAAGTGGGAGGAAAAGAGGAAGACTGAGGAATGAGAAAGAAAAAACGATGAACTGAACTGCAAGCATGAAACACAGGAAGTTTTTACAGAAAAGAAATTAGAAAACAAAGCAAGTAGCAGCAATGATAATGTCTGTATATATTCTATTTTCCTCCTCACCATTTACAGTCTCACTTGGTTCATTTTTTATAACAATATTTGCCACAAGTCTTGATTATTCCAGGAGAGTCCCATCCATATGTCACATATTCCAGTTATAGGAATTCATTAAGTAGACAATATATAAATTTATATTCTTATTACTTTGTATGGCTGCAATGACTGTCATATAATTAATTTGTAGGTTAGTAAAGATCCTTTTGTCAGGACATGAACCTGTTACTTTGATTTAAAATGTGGATGTTCTTTTTATGAAACTTACCAGGCTTTATTAGCCTAGATACGGGAGGAGGCCTCTCCCTTTCCTGCTCACACTCTTCATTATGTAAAGAATTACCAGAAAATGTCCCTCAAGTAATAGAACAGTGGCCTCTCTTTTCCCCTCTCACTCCACCACTCTCCAGCCCATTCTCAGTGGGGGCGAGGCTGGAGGGCGGCTCCTCCTGCCACTGACTGAGCAGGGTTTGTGGAGGGAGTCTGATTGGCTGCAGGAGCAGGAACAGTTCTGAGAACCAAGTCATGCCACTCATCCTCCCAGAGTACAGTGAAATCTATCTTAGGGTGAAAATGTCCCGAGCAACAAGGCAAAGCGTCACGAAGAGGCTGTTGGGCACTGTGCTGGGGCTTTTGTGCACCCATGTTTACTGTGAGTTGGGGGTGACCCAGATGGGAGTCCGAAAGGAGTATTGTCGCGGGAGGGAGGAGAAGTTGCTCATCAGTCTTGCAGACTTTCTATCCTTCTCCTGGCGAATGGGGATCTTTTCCAGGTTTTGTGGGTGTTGCAGTGACCTGTGACTGTGTCTTTGTTTCTCTTCAGGTGTGGGAGGGGTGCAGGTGGAGCAGAGTCCCCCAGACTTGATTCTCCGGGAAGGAGCCAGTTCCACGCTGTGGTGCAATTTTTCCATCTCTGCGAACAACGTGCAGTGGTTTCGCCAAAATCCTGGAGGCCGCCTCATCAACCTGTTTTACATTCCTGCGGGGTCAAAATGGAATGGAAACTTAAAAGCTACGACAGTCCCTACAGAGCGCCACAGTTCACTGCTTGTTTCCTCTGCCCAGACCACAGACTCAGCCATTTACTTCTGTGCTGTGGAGCCACAGTGCTTCGCAGGCACCTGCAGCCTGAACACAAACTCTCAGCCGGGGGCTCCTCCCCCAGCCATACTCACCGCACAGATCACCACACAGCATATGCACAGCTCAATATTCCAATCCCGCCCTGGTAGGGTTTCAACCACAGATACTTTTTGCTCTTCAAGTTTGGGATTTGGGTCCTTATCTTTCCTTCTTAAGCTACATCTTTTTATGCACTATAAACCTCTAACTTGGAACCAGTAGAGAAGCTGATAAGGGGACAGAATGAATATAAATATTTAAGCCACAGTATGCTTGACTTCCAAAAGAGTAAAAAGCAGAAGGAATAAGAAGAAAAGAAAAATTATTCCAGTAAAGACGTTACAAAATGATCCAGCTCAGGGGGTGTCTTAAAAATGTTTCAGATCAGCGTCACCACAATGTGTCCCAAGACAATTGCAAATACTTATATCTCATTCTACTAGTGCAGCAAAGCAAGTGACATAATTTTTGCTAAGTGATCAGACATTGATAAATCTATGGGGGAAAACTTTAGGATGTATATTTATTTCATTCATTTAAGTCGCAGTTATGTTCTTGAGGCTTGTTTGTCCTGGGATATGGTCAATCCTGAAGAGTGTTTCCTCCATGAAGAAAAAGCATGTGCACTCTGTTCTTCAGGGTGGATGTCTGTTAGGTCTACTTAGTTTATAGTTTTGTTCAACTTTCTTAGTTATTATGGCTAGTTTTCCTATTATTGAAAGTGAGATATTTAAATCTCAAACTATTATTGTTGAAAACCTATTTGTTCCTTCCATTCTGTCCAGTTTTGCTTCATCTATTTTGGTGCCTCTTGTTAAGTACTTATATATTTACTAGAGGCCCAGTGCACAAAATTCATGCCTGGGAGGGGTGTCACTCAGCCTGGCCTGCACCCTCTCCAATCTGGGAGGCATCAGCTATCCCTCTCACAATCCAAGACTGCTAGCTCTTAACTGCTTGGCTGCCTTCCTGCCTGATTGCCTCTAACCACTTGCCTGCCAGCCTGATTGCTCCTTAATCGCTCCCCTGCTGGCCAGATTGATACCTTATCGCTCCCCTGCTGGCCAGATTGATACCTAATTGCTCCCCTGCTGGCCCAATTGCCCCCTACTGCCCTCTCCTGCTGACCTGGTCACCCCCAGCTGTGCTTTCCTGCCAGCCTGATTATCCCCCAACTGCCTTCCCCTGTGGCCATCTTGTGGTGGCCATCTTGTGGCAGCTATTTTTGTGATGATGTGAGAGCATCACACAAGGGCACAAGGTCCACCTAGGGTTTTATTAGTATAGATAATATCTTCCTGAATCATTGGCCCTTTATCATAAAATACTAGAGGCCCAGTGTATGAATTTGTATACAGGTGGGTGCTGGGGGTTCTTGATCCAGCATCTACAAAGGTTCAGGAATCTGGAGAAGTACTGTGTGTAAATTACTCAAGAGTCCAGAGATGAAACATAATTTTGGAAGGCATTATGAGGGGCCAGAGAAAACTTAGCTAAAGAAACTTAGTTCTCCCTTGTCTCAGGACCCCTTGCTTTTTATTAACACAAATTTTCCTAAGACAAAATAGATATACACATCAAAGACAAGGGTTTAGTACACAAAATCCATTGTCAGATTGGGAAGATTCCCTAATGGCTGTTCAGGTGTTTGGCCAGTAGAAGGCAATAACATGTAGATTGAAATGCCCTTAGCTGTCTGGCAGCAAGCAATCATCTATGCATCCCTTTCAGATTTGGGGAAATGCCCTCAGGCATCTCCAGATGATTCAGACCTGCTGACATGCTAGAATTGACTTCTAGCAAGTTGGGTCCAGCCAGGGGCCTATCAGGACTGGGCCTGTCAGAAGGAGGTGATGGAGGGAGGTTGGCTGGCCAGCCCACCCCTATTGGGGCATATCAGGGCCGGACCAGCTGGGGAGAGTGGGCAATTGGCTGGTAGGCCCTGCCTCCGATTGGTGTTGAGGGGCAGATTGGGGGCCATTGGCCTGGGGGAGGTGCCATGGGTGGTTGGCCATCTGGCCCTGCCTATGATTGAGGTGAGGGGCCGATCTGGGATAGAGGCAGAGGCAGGCAGGGGGAGGGGCTGTAGGAGGTTAACCAGCCAGCCCCACCCCCTATTGGAGTGGGGGGCCCATTGAGGGTGAGACCAGCCAGGGGGAGGAGCTTCAGGCCCATCAGGGTGGTAGGGCCCCATTGGGAATGGGGCTGGCTCAGGGGAGGGGCTGCAGGCCTATCGTGGTGAGGCAGGATGATTAGAGGTGGGGCTGGCTGGGGGGAAGTGTAGGGGTGGGCATTTGGCTGTCCGGCCCTGCCCTTGATTGGAAAAGTCTGATTAGGGGCAGGCTGGATGGGGGCGCGGGAGGGGCCACAGGAGGTTGGCCGGCAGGCCCTACCCCCTGGCCAGTGGGTGTCATTGAGACCAGTTGTCAGTCGTTCCAGTCGTCGCGGTAACTGGCTTTTTAAATATGTAGATTCTTCTTTATCTCTAGTAAACATTTTTTGGTTTAGAGTTTATCTTGTCTAATAACAGTATTGCAGCTCCAACTCTCTTTCATTTGCTGTTTGCATACCTTTTCCCATCCTTATTTTAAAATATATATATTTCTTTATTGATTTCAGAGAGGAAGAAAGAAGGAGACAGAAACATCAATGATGAGAGAGAATCATTGATCAGCTTCCTCCTGCATGCTCCCCAGTGGGGATCAAGCCTGCAACCCAGAAATGTGCCCGTAGCCAGAATCAAACCTGGGACCCTTCAGTCCACAGGCTGACACTCTATCCACTGAGCCAAGCTGACTAAGGCCCATCCTTTTAATTTTAACCTAATTTTATCTTTGAATTAAAAGTATGTCTCCCAGCGGCCAGGCCCGGAGCAGCAGCTGCCAGGCTGGGAGCGGCCAGGCCCGAAGCAGCGGTTGCCAGGCTGGGAGCGGCCAGGCCCGGAGCAGCGGCTGCCAGGCTGGGAGCGGCCAGGCCCGGAGCAGCTGGGTCGGGTGCGGCCAGGCTCGAAGCAGCAGTTGCCAGGCTGGGAGCAGCTAGGCCCGGAGCAGCCGGGTCTGGTGTGGCCAGGCCCGGAGCAGCAGCTGCCAGGCTGGAAGTTTCCAGGCCCGGAGCGGCTGGGCCATGAGCAGCCAGGCCTAGAGCAGCCGGGTCGGGTGCGGCCAGGCCCGGAGCAGCAGCAGCCAAGTCCAGAGCAACTAGGTCGGGAGCGGCAGTGACCAGACCCGGAGCAGCTGGATGTGGAATGAACCAGAGCAACAGAGGCCAGGCCCGAAGCAGCCAAGCCCAGAACAGCTCACTCCTCACCTGCCCCTGCCCCATGGCTGCCTCTCAGACATGGCTGGAAACTTTTGTGGGAACTTGAGGGTCTGCTGAATCAAGAGATGAAGGCTTAGATCTGGATGTGTTGAGTTAGTATAGGGCTGGGGTGTTGATCTGCGAGTGCCTTGGGTGGGGCCTGGATGAGGCTGGTTGACCTATTTGGAAATGTCTTTTGTGTGAAATGTATCATTGGGCATGTGGAGGTATTATTGATATGAGAAAATGCTAAGTAACTGATTTACTATCTGAAAAGGGATTTACTGTCAGGGAAAGGGAGGGAGGAAGAGACTGAACATAAACTGCACCTATGGATGAGGACAATGGGGGAGGGGAGGGGGCGGAGAGTGGGGTGGGAACCTGGTGGAGGGGGGAAGAAATGAGGAACCTTTGTAATAATATGAACAATAAAGATTAATTAAAAAAAAAAAAAAGAAAGTATGTCTCCCAGATATAGTATACTAGAAGCCCTGAGTATAAAATTGGTGCATTTTGGGGGGAGAGGGGTCCCTTAGCCTTGCCTGTTCCCTCTAGCAGTCTGGGGGCCGGGCCTAAGCTGGCAGTTGGACATCCTTAGTGCTACTGTGGAGGCGGGAGAAGCTCCCACCACCACTGCTGCACTCACCAGCCATGAGCCCAGCTTGTGGCTGAGCAGCATCCCCCTGGTTTATAGGTCAACACTCAACCACTAAGCCATGCCCATCAGGCTGCACTGTATTTTTTAAGTACCTAAATAATTACCTATAATGGTGTGTAGTCTGGGGTCATTTGCTTTCAGCCAGAAGAACTTCCTTTATTATTTCTGTAAAGCAGATATGAGATCAATGAATTCTCCCAGTTTGTATTTACCTGCAAATACAGGTCTTTTATTCTCTTAGTTTTTTTTTTCCAGATATTTTTTTCAAATATAGGATTTTTTTATTGATGGTATTTTTTTCTTTCTCTTTTTACTTTGAATATATCACTTTTTTGATTGTCCTTGAGAATTCAGTTTTTATTATAGTTTTATGAGAGTTACCTTGTATATAAAAATTTTTCTCTTTTTGCTTTCAAGATTTTTTGTTTATCTTTCAACATTTTTAGTATGTATCGGAGTGTGGATCTCTTTAAATTTACCCTACATGAATAGATTGTTTTCTGTTAAATTGGGATAGTTCTCAGACATTATTTCTTGAAATATTTTTTTCTGCTACTTTCCTCTCCTTCTGGTACTATCATTATGCATTTGTGGTATTCTTAATAATGTTCCATATTTCTCTAAGTCTATGTTCATTTTTCTTCATTCTTTTTTCCTTGATGTTTTTTTAGATGGCACAATCTCTGTAGATCTACATTCAAATTTACTGATACCTAATTCTGGAAACTCAAATTTGCTATTGAGAACCTTGAGTGAATATTTCATTTTGGTTATTACATTTCCCAACTCCAGAATTTCTATTTTTTTTTTCCTTTTGAAAAATAATTTCTGCCTCTTTGTAGATATTCTCTTTTCAATGAGATGAAGTCAACATACCTTCTTTAAGCATACTTTTCTTTAGTTTTAAAAGCCATATTTAAAGCACTTTAAAATCTTTATCTGATTAAGTCCAATATCTGAGTCCTTTCTATAACAGTTTCTATTGCGCATTTTTTTTTTCCCCCTGTGGAAGGGTCACACTTTCCTGTTTCTTTTCATGTCTCATAATTTTTATTGAAAACTGGACATTTTAAATAACAAATTATGTATAGTTTCCTATGACACTGGTATGGGTAGACTTGTGCTCCCCAACCCCAATTTATATGCTAAAGTCCTAACCCCCAGTATCTGAGAATGTGACCTTATCTAGTAATAGGTCACAAATGTAACTAGATAATTTGAGATTAGGTCATTAGGATGGGCCTTAATCCAATATGACTGGTAGCCTTACAAAAATAAAAATTTGGACACAGAGACAGATGCACAGGGAGAACACCATATGAAGATGAAGGCATAGATTGAAGTGATGCTTCTACAAACCAGAGAACACAGAAGGTTGTCACCAAACTGTTGCAGTTGGAATTGAGGCCCTTTCACAGAGTCACAAGAAAAGCATTCCATGGACCCACATATGGGAGTTTATTGAAGTTGAAGTAAACACAAAGGGCTGTCCCTGGTTTAGCTCCAATGTCTCATCTTTATCATCCTGCTGTGAGGAGAAAGTTCTACCTTGTCTTCATCAGGTCCAGAGCTGTGAGAAGGCCAGAGGCCTGCTTGTCTCACAGTGGCTTGTCAGCTTTAAGAACACTGTGCTGTGTGGGAACAATAACCTCTGGTTTTGCCTTGCCTTTCCCAGAATGGAACCATCATTGTATATTGAGTGGGAGTAAGGGCAATCAATA